GCTTGTCTCCCTTCATGATTTCGCTTTTGGCTGCCGCTGCCGCCTTGGTCTCAAGCTTGTCTCGCTTCATGATTTCGCTCTTGGCTGCCGCTGCCGTCTTGTTTCTCAAGCTTGTCTCCCTTCATAACTTCGCTCTTGGCTGCCTCTGCCGGCTTGTCATTTTCTTGCCTGCCTTTGACGCGGATGCTGTTATAAGATGATTTAGGTCTTGTTTAGCTTTTCCATCCTTTTCCCTGCTTTGAGTGGGATGTCTCCGCAAGCTTGTCTCCCGCTCTTGCCATGCTATCCTTTTCTTGAAGTGCTATCTGGGGCCTATGCCGGTATAATTTTTTTTGTCAGACCAGGTTCCTTTTCTCCAGTGGGACTATCTCCGGCCTTGCCCAGCTCGCAAGATGGCCATCGCACTTGTCACACCGCTGTCCCGGTATGGGGTGCACCTGGAAAAAGACCATGGGCCCCGCCACTGTTGCAAAGTGGATGACAGTGATAGGAATTGTCTAACGTGCGCCTTAGTAGGCCATATTAGAACTATGGGTACGACCGATGGGGTGCTGTACGCAGGCGGTGAAGTCACTCATGCGTGCCAGTAGGGGAGGACATTGCAAGTGTTCTTTGGATGTGCAAGACCGCGAACAAAAACATAATTACAAAGAGACTTTGTGATGACTCATGCTGAGGAAGAAACAGTTTTGGTAATCTGAGCCTGAAGGTTGCTGCCGCTTGATTTTTGTAATTTCAATGTCGACTATGTTGTTTTGGCGAGCCACCGTGCGTCTTGGGTGTTGGACATGAGGGCTTGGACAAGCCATCGATGGCTGAAAGATGAAAGAGTACCCCTCCATCTCCATCTTGGTATGGGTTCTCAATGGTTTTGCCTCGAGCAGTAGTGCTTGTGTCCAAAGTGATTGAGACCGAATCTTTAAAGCCCAAAAATGGAATTATGTTTATAAGAAGGAAGGCCATTTTTGCACTTGTCGCACCGCTGGCCGGAGCCACCAGGTTTGGCATTGCAGGAAGCTTTAATAGCCAGCAGCTCAGAAGAACTGCATCTTACTGAGGCATTGGCAGGTTTTCAGTTGATGTATTCATTCCACGCCGAGGTTGGAGTTGCCGAACCATGGCCGAGATTGCGGGACTTCCGGGGCTGCCAAGCTCTCAGTTTGGGAGAGTCCGGAGGTTAAAGCAAGTTAAGCAGGTGTGTTGCTCTTGCTATGTCTCAGAAGTTTGGACGGCATCTAACAACTTCGGTGATTGTCTTGAGCAAAAAGCAGGATTACTGAAGTGTGGGACCTGCTGAAGCGCACAAGTCGTCTTCTTTGTCGGGGATGCCTTCAGCTTTGGACACTTGCAAGGGAAAAGTGATCCAAGAACGAAAGATGTTGCGATGTTTGGCACATTTCCTGTCGAGGTTTGGTGCGGAGGTGACCATCGGCGAGTCTGGCGAAGAGTACTTCCATATTTTGGGAGACGAGGAGAGCGGTGTGGTCAAAGTCCATTCCTTGATGCCGAAAACATGGCTGCAATGAAGGACACCAGCCAGGTCTACTATCCGGCCATGCCGAGATGCACACGCAAGGTGATTCAATTTCGGACACCCGTGGCGGAGAGCTGGTCATGGGTCCAAACGAAGTTCAAAGACAAATCCTCCTGATCTCCTCTGGGATGCAGCTCAAGCTCTTAACGATACGTATGCATATCGTCGCCTCGTATTCAAGTTGTTGGAGCCTGTTCTTGTTGGCATTCACCCCACAACTCACAAAGTGTAGAGACATGGACATGAAGAAGGACACTTGCTGAACAGACTTCACAAGAAACCAATGACAAGGAAGCTCTGAAAACACGAATGTACATGGCCAGAAATGGAGCTGGATCGAAACTCAAAGCACCTGCATGGTGACAAATCTCAAGAATCTGACCTTTTGCGCCGATCTCCAAGCGTTGACCATGATTGCGAGCAACTCAAATGTCTTGCCTGCGCGATCAGAGTCTTCACTTGAGCTGGAAGCCCAGAGGCTGGCAGAGCCGTGCTTTAGACAAATCTGAAAGGACTTCCACTGGCATGGACAGTTGTCGAATTCCCACTGATTCCATGATTGATCCCAAGGAACTTGGGTGGTCTCTAGTTCATGACTGTTTTCGATAGATTTCGCCCACAAGCCTTTATATAGTTGAACACACAGGGCTGTTCATATGAGACGGTCTCGGCTTGGTGGGTGGATGTGCGGACAGCGCCATTAGGTTGTTGTGCTATTAAACAAGTCTTGATACATTTTTCAAAGGCCGTGCTGTCCTCCAACCTGGAAGCGATGGCCTCCGCCAATAGCATTCTTTCACTGTTCCCTCACGTAGAGACTGTTGACGAATGACCCGGCTTCCCATATGAAGATGCATGTTCCATTAGGGTGAAATTTTTCATCAACAGTCTACATTGGAGCATCTCACCCGAGGTCCCAATCTTCAGCACGCCCAAGCGCTACTTCTGTGTCTGTCACGATTCTCTTTGAAGAGAAGGCCCGGGTGGCCAGCTGAATCACATGGCCGCTCAAAAGTTGGTCCTCCTCCAGGCTCTCATGTAATTACATCCTTTTCACTTTGTAGGTGCTAGGGTTCTGTAGACCCCCCATTTGAGCACTCGTTTGGTTCAGTATATATAACAATTTCAAAAACTGCACCCGCAAGCAGCCACTTGTGCTTTCAATGGCCAGTCTGCAGTGTTCGGCTGGTCTGAGAAGACTCCTGCAAGAGAGTTTGGAGAGCAACTGCGGACGGCCAGAGGCTTAGATCACTGGAAGTGGGTCATTTGGGCATGCCTCTCTCTATTATCTAACCACCAGAAAGATGGTGTTGGGAAAGATGGAGATGTCATGTTGTTTTGCAATCTCCCCCTTCGAAGGGAGATGCTTACCAAGTATGGTTCTTTTGGAGATCAACAGCCGTTCGTTCCGTTCTGCGACCGAGGCCGTTCGGCACCTGACAGGCACGCTTTTTGTGCCTTTTGAGTTTCGTATTTGGCAATGACCTCTCGAGGTATCTCTGAACTGAGCAACATGGACATCGTGACAGAGCGGGCCTGAGCTAGCTAGCCTCCTTGGCATCTGGCAGTCATCTCAAGGCAACTAGAGCTCATAGCTTGACCCTAGACTGGGAATGCCGTGCCTGTGCTATGTCTCGTCATGTGACGCCCTGAATGAAGCACACCCGGAGTCTCAGTGAACCGCGGCTTCGTCCTGGTCGCATGGCTCAAACACTTCGTCCACAGTTGACCCACTCGCCTAAGGCGAGATTGGAATGTTTGCGAGCTATCCTGTTCTTCTTTGACACTGGTTGGCCATCGTTTGGAGGAATTAGGAACCTTGTTGTCGAGCCATGTTGAACACACACACACACACAAACGCACACACACACACACACCCCCCTACACCTCAGAAGCTATCCTTAGAATCATGCCCTCGAAAACGCAATGGCAAAAATTACTGGGGTGTGCAATTTGCTGATGGACTTCCAGTTGATGGATGGTCCAATATTGTTTCCATAGCTCGTACGCGCAAACCAAGTAAAACACACATGTGATGCCCGCACCTTTCTGGACCCAACCATGACGCCAATATGGGGCGATCAGCTTCGGAGTCTCCTTTATTGCTTGAAGCAACTGCGCTTCGTCTTGCCTGCCACCATTCTCATGACCTTACAGCCATTGCAACTTGGTCAAAAGGATGAATCAAAGGAGGCCAAACGTCTGTGCAATTCGGGACCGAGAGGATCCGAGAGTTGTACTGATTTCCGTTTCGGGGCGAAACACATGGGATTTTCCGGTGACATGAGCGTCGCCCAAGCGCCGTCCAGGATGGTGAAGCTGTCACAGAATAGCAAGGGGGAGATCGAGTACAGCTCAAGCAGCGTTGTGCTTTGTGTGGAGAGCCTCAGAGGCAAGACACAGCAAACATGGCAAGAACTTTGCAGAAAATGATTTGCTGGTTCATATCATCATCTTGTCGTTTCTTTCAAGACAGAGAGGCAAGAGAGTCACTCTTTCGCATATCTCCGAGTGCTTCTTGTTTCACGCAGTTACACCGAGATACAATGAGACCAAACTATGAATGATGCGTCAGACAGTTCCAGATGCATGGAACAACTGCATGGTGTCATACGCACAACAACAGTAGTGCAACGCCCTGATCGACATATTTCTGTTTGGGACAGCTAAGCTACCCAAATTCCACAGTACACATTACAATTACATTGAGCTACAATTTCTAGGCCTTTCGGGGGCCTTGCTTCATTTTTCCTCGGTTCTCTTCGGCTTGCCAGCAAAAGCTGATGCAGAACATCGTAATTGTTGGCGCTTCCGAGTGGTCCGACACGTGTCGGCGTTTCGTCCGGTGTCGTTTCCGTCGCTCCAAGCGTTCCGTCTGAGGAGCATTAAGATTGTCATTTCATTGGCCGGGTGGATCCGTGAAAAGACGCCGATGGACATGCTTTGCTGGGCAGACTTTGTGACCTACAGTATACCAGCTTTGCCGCTTTTATGTAGACTTGAACAAAGACTTGGGAATTGAACAGAAATAAAGGTGGCATATGGGTTTTGCTCATTTGCTGATTTCATTAGGACCTCCTATGCCTTTATCTTTGTTAATGTGTCATATCTTAGATTGAGGCAGGTCGTTGCTGACTCAAATCAAGGCCACCCAATCTGATTGGCCGCACGAGAATCACATGTCTGAGTGTTTGAGGATCTACTTTGTGAACAACAACCTGGTTTTTTGGACGCTTTCTCTTCTTGACACCACCACCTTTCAGATTCTTAGCCAGCTGAAAATCATCTTCACGGCCCTTCTGTTCCGCATGTTCATCTCTCGAAAGCTGACGAGTCAGCAGCCACTTGGAGAGAAGTCTGGCAGTCGTGCGCTTTGGCTCGGGAGTGTGGGCAGTGTAACGAGGTAAGAACTGGCTGAAGATGGCTGGTGGTAGAACTTGGAGAAGGATTGTGATTGTGAATCAATTTGACAAGGTAGCTTGGCAAGGGAACAGATGGAAGTAGATGGTGATCATTGGTGATCCTCAATGGTTAGTGAAGGTCGTGTGGTGATCTCGACACCGTTCACGTCGCGGTGTCGACGCTCCAGAACTCGGTCGGCCTCGTGGGGTAGGCCGTGAGGAGGCTGGAGTAAGCTAACATGTAAGGAGTAGCTGCTTAGCTACTACGTATATAAGCGTATATAAGTAGAAAGCAGGAGGCCTCAGGCTTATGATTGGGTTCCTATCTGTTCCTCGATTCTTGGCGAAATCAGCTCCCATCCAAAGGAATTTGGCTCTCATCCAGCTTGCTTGTGGTTGTGCTGTGAGCCAACTTGCAGATGCCACACAACATGGGGACTCTCTTCTAGGCTGTTTGCAGCTTGACTGAAAGTTGTGATGTGCTTCAACACGTCGTGAATGGTGACCTTGCTCTGTCAAAATATGCTGAGGGTCGCAGTGCTGCAAGCTCTACTGTCAGCAATTGGATGCGTCGCAAACGAGAAGCTGTTCAAAGCCAAAGAACACTCATTGCATCTCCAGAACCTCCTGCTCTACACATGGGGAATTGCACTCAATCTCGCAAGCTTTCTGACCAATGGCAGTTCGCTGGGTGTTTCCTCGATGTTCACTGGATACAATGTTTGGACTTGGATTCTCATCGTGAACAACTCTCTGATAGGGCTCTCTATCTCTGCCATTTTGCTGCCTGCCTGCAGAAAAGTACCCGGCTTGGGAGGAGCCAATGAAGCACCCTGTGACACTGGATGACCAGACACCAACATGAGCCTCCAAGTCGATGCAAACAGAGCACTTCAAGAACAACAGCCAGGTTTCTAGGTGCAGGGTGTTTTCTTTCGACCATTTTGCCAACGCCGAGGAAATATGCTGACAACATCTGGAGGGTGTTCGCCAGCGCCGCCTCAATGCTCTTGACGATGCTGCTCTCGGTGACGCTCTTCAAGGAGACCATCACACCGCATCTGCTCCTGGCATTGCTCATTGTGGGTACCGCCCTAGTGCGGAGCTCAGCCTTGACGTTTATCGTCCAAGTTTTGGCAGGTAACTGCTTAAGATTTGTAGACATTCTTAAGACTGGTATGTACTTGCTCAGGGAATCATCAATCGACTACTTGTTGTGAATTGTTTCCACTGCCTGCATTTGCTCATTGTGCAATCACCACCGGTAGGCTGAAGACCTTTTAGAATACTAGTATGTTGCGGTTGAGCTCGCCGCTGAGGTACAATACCACGTGTCTGCAGACCCTGGCGTTAGACCGCAGAAGCAAGAAGAGGAAAGAGGTGAGCGATTAACTTTCTCTCGTTGATGTATTATTCTCTGTCAAGTATCGTCATATACTCAAAAATTCACTTGCTGGACATGAGGGCTCACTTCGGTTGTGTCACGTGTAAAGAGACCACCAAACAAAAGAATGTAGTGGGGCTTGAACCTTACTTTTTTGGGCCCTGCGCTAAGGAGACCGACCCTCCGAAGAAGGTGACACCCCGAGATGCCGCCGACCAAGCGGAAGAGCCTTTTTGGGAAGTCTCAGGTCAGAGTCAGGCAGGAAGAACTGCAGGGCTGCGGACATCTCCTATATTCTCCTATTATACCATCACATGCTAGCTGAAAGTGGATTGGAGTGTAACTGGCACCTTGATCTTATGCTTTGTGGTGGAAATCCTCCACTGAACTTCAACATGGGCTACACAGTGTCCTTTCGTGGGGATCTCCAGGTATTCATCACTACACGGCTGGACTCGCCTCAAGTAGCCCAGAAAAAGAAACACGCACTGCAGCTTTCTTTTGTTCAGTATGCACACCCCAGACTGTTGCGAGAGACAGGCATTTTGGCTCTTGAAGATTGAGGTCTTTGAGAGAAGATACCCTGAAGCGGCCCACAGCCGCTTTCGAATTGTGTGAGTCTTGGGATATCAAAAGCACGCGGTGAGAATCATCAGGATAAGACAAATCAAACAGAGACACCCCCCTGTTCCTATCCTTCGGGATTTGTTGTGAACGAAAACACTCAGCACTATAGCTGTCTTTCTACAGTCCTTCAACTTAAAATCACTTGTGCTTGTTTCATGCATGAATATTCTGCACCCCAAAGGTACCTGAAACTTTCTAGCTGCAGGTCTTGCGGGCTTCAAAGCCCACCCCAACCGTGTACGTCGAGGATGCTGAGGCGTATTTCGTATTTCACTAGCGGAAGACATCTGAGCCTTGCAAGCAGGACATTTAGGGCTGATTCCCACTGCAGTCTACATTCCACATGCTTCCGCGATGCAAAATTAGCAGAATGCTCAGCATGAGCTTTTCTCTTGTAGACCAGGGTTACTTGTACCCACCTACCAAGTGTGAAACCAAGAAACATCAATGTTTTTGGATCCTGCAGTCCGGCTCCTCCGGGCGCCGGGCGTTGACCGATACCCACGGCTTGGAAGGCGAAGGCCCGCATCCCCGAGGTTTCAGGAGAGCGGAGTGGGCTGACCTTACGGGACGCGGAGAGCGGCAGCACGCATCAATTGGCCAATCCCCAGCACAATCGCGCAAGGTGGGTTGGCAAAGGAAGGGTTTAAAAGGAGCACTTCCTTAACATGCCAGTTTTTGTCATTCACCTCAAAGCATTTCTTTCCTTGGTTTGCTCAGGCTGTTGGGAAGTATCGGGTTGAGTATTGATGGCAAAAGCGATGATACATCTACTAATGACTACAGCAATGAACACCAATGGAAGCGGATGAAGAAGGGGAGATGTGGAAAACCATCCCCAATGGGTGTATTTCCTCGGCATTCAGGACCTCAGAGCAGTGCAGGGAGAGGTCAGCTCAAAGCACCTCAGCGGCAGCCGCCCTCTGGCAAATTTCAAAAGTCATCGGCTCAGCGTGATTGTAGTTGGGTGGGCCCGCAACCATCCAATCATGGCGCGACCTGGTAATAGCAAAATTAGCTTGTTCAGTCTCTAAATTCTATAGGATCACCCGATCCTTCACATCAGCTTTCTACACATCAGCCCGATCTCCCAGGCCCCAAAGAGACCACTAGGACGTTGTGCAGACAAGCTTTTTTGATTTGCTTCCATTGCCCAGCCTTTGATTGTGGAGATTCAACTAAGGGCTGGAGGTTCCCAGCTGCAGTTCCTGCAGATGCTGGAGGGAAACAAGAATCCCAAGGTGCGGTGGGATCTCGTGGAATTAATACAACCATGGACAGTGGGATTTCAGCTTTACCATAAGCGGGTTGATTGTTGAGTCTTCTGTGAAACGTAAGAACATGTACGAACCAGTCCCTCTCAAATTTGCAGCTCTGAGCCTTTGGAAGGTAGCATGAGTTGAGCCACAACAGTTGGGAAAGGTTTAGCCGGTACGATTACTTCCAGTCCAATGGGAGAGGAGTCTACTTTTTCAAACGGGCACTGGTATGGGTCCACACCTCCCAGGTTATTGTTTGGCCCGACTAGACCTTTCGGGCCAATCATGGGGCCGCCCCAAGCACCTACTGGCTGAGGCAGACCTGCATGAAGCGACTGTTCTAACTCCTGAGGAGGTGGCAAGGTGGGGAGGGAGGACATGGACATGTTTCTTGTTTTTTATTTTTTTGCAGCAGATTGATAGATTGGGTCAGAGAAACTGACCCAGCCCTTTGGAATCCCCACCGGTCCCCAAAATTACAGTGAAGAAGCTTGCCAGCATTCACTGAGGCATTGCAAGCCTGGCAACTGTTGGACCATTTTCCAGGGCCGTGTCTATGATGCAGCACACTCAGCCATTGCTTTGCCGTCCCTTGAAGTTCCAAGCGTTCTACTCAGTGACATGCAGATCACTTGTAGATCTTGTAGATGTAGATAGATATTTAATTTCAGATTTATGCCCCACAGATGGTAACCCATAGCAAGCCAGCATCAGGAGTGTCACGAAGCATCTCCCTGCCTGTTCCTGATCAAGTAGTTCTCGTTGTTTTGCCTTTCTTTTGTCCGAGATCACGCTCTACATAGATTTTCATCCGGGCGGCAAACGACAAATCATGCAGGGGGTTGGGCGCCAAGCGCTTGTTCCGTGGCAGAGTCCATCGCGTAGGAGAAAGAGTCGTGTCGAGATGTGATGTGCTGAGAACAGTTGTGAAGAAGCTGTGGAAGAGGTTTTAAAGATGCTACTAGTAGCAGGTGCATCGCTAGTAGTAACAAGTGCATCGCTACTAGTAACAAGAAGCTACTAGTAGCAAAGGGCATTACTACTAGGAACAAGAAGCTACGAACGGGGCTCCTGGCCTTACTAGGAGCGACTCCGGACGCACTAGTGACTCCGCTCCGGAGCTTCTAAACATCGCACCGGAAGGCCGGAAAGGACATGACCGAGCTGTTTCAGCAAGCACATCCATGGGTAAGCCAGGGCCTTAGGTGGCCAAGGCAGTTGTTTTGCTGCGGAGATTTGACACCTTTTTCCACATGCGACTTAAAATTGCCATAGCCCCAGGCATGGATGGTCTGCTGGGAAAGCTCGGAGCTGAAGCTCTGTCGAAACGTGTTGATTGAGATCTTAGGATGTCCAAGTTGTGAGCATGTTGGCCCAGAAGGGCCCACCATATGACATACACTGCCAGGAAGATTTCTTGGGTTTGATTCAAGTGATAGATTCTGACCAAGAATATCATACTCATAATATCCAACCAAACAATGACAAAGGGGCAGATTTGCTTCTCACCCAGGCTATGTCTCGGACCCTTGGCAACCAAAGAAGGCTCCATTTCGGAGGCAAAGACCCAAAGCAGAGAAGCTCAGGCCGCGTTGAGTTTGATGAGTCAAGAAGCCTGCAGTTTCTTTCTTTCTTCACAGCTTCTTCACGACAAAGAAACCAACCTTGCAAAGATACACGGATACGGACAGTGCTTTCCTTTGTGAGTGGTGTGTTGAGTTTCAACCCGTACCCCTCCAAGCTGGGTAGTAGAAAACATGCCAAGCTTCAATGATGCCAAAGTATTTTTGGCAGACCTAGCCGGACCTCACCCAAGCCCCACATCTGCCCCCGTACAGGTGAACTCTGCAGAGAGGGAAATGCCCGTGGAAGTGGTGTCTCTGTGAGCAAAGGGAGTCACCACGATGTGCGTTGTGCACAGACTGGCAGCATGCTGGCCAAAAGGATGCTGTATTGACGAAACGCAACAACACATTTTGGTTTCTTCTTAGGCCGTGCAGTGCTTTGAAGTTGCGGAAGTGTATGGAACACGGAAAAGTATGCTTCAAAATCTCAAAATCTTCAAATCTCTTTGCCCCCGGCACACCTCGCTTCCCTGTGCAGCTTGTGGATGTTCGTGGACCAAGCGCCGTGCTGGGCAACCCAGAGGCCAGACTTTGATGGTCATAATGGGCACATCCAACCGGCAAACCGGCACAGGAACATGCGTGGTGCATCCAAGGGCAACCTGGCTCCAGGCACAGGGTTACTTATTTACATTGAAAGGAGGTTTTCATGCATTTGCAAACTGAAGAGCTTCAACACCGACCCTGAGCAACGAACGCAGGAAACTAACTTGTTCCTGCCGTTGTTGCAAGCTCTTCAGTATTGTAGAACCACTTGACGAAACCATGGCATGATCCCGTGGCATTGGTCCAAGTGTTCTCTCGCTGAGAAGTCCGCTTCCAAGAACTGATGGATCCTGAGGCTGGGACTGCCCTGCCTTTGCCAGGCACATCAGGCACAAATGAGACCGGTGGGGTTGTTCAGCAAGTGATCCATGTTTTGCTGGAGAAGCTGAAAACGCTGCTGGATGCCATGGCCCCCAAGAACCGCGAGGTGGGTGTGGAGAACCGGTTCTACTTCGACCAGACAGAGAAGGTTTGGAAGCTCCATGGGGGTGAGACTGAGCAGGAACGAGCCGAGGCTGAGGCTTTCCGGTTTCATACTGGCCGTGGCTTGACCTCCGTGTCGGCACCTGCAACCACTGCCTGTGACGCTTCCCGAGGAGACTGGCAGAATGGTCACTTGCCGCCACCCCCACCTGCTACAGGACCAGTCACAGCATCTCTTCATGGAGGAGGCGGATATGAAGAAACGCATGCAGCTTTGGCTCATCCAGTCTACGCACCTCAGGGTTTGGGGCATGCGAGGAAAGCCGCCCCAGTCAGCAGCCCTCCGCAGGACCCGCAGGGCTTTGTGCCTGCAGGAACTGCAGCACTCGCGCCGCCTGTGGCGCCACCTGTGGCTGCGGCTGCACCACTCTCTAATCCTTTTGGTCAAGCGCTGAAGTCGCCTTTCGGTGTTCAAGGGACACCTTTGGCGTCCCCCTTCGCACAGACAAATCATGCAAGTGAAATGACTTATGGTACAGGAGTGAACTACGCTCCCAACTTGGCATAGTTCACTGCATCTCAGAGGACATCGAGGAGCTAGGTTTGTTGGCTAAGGACTTCTCAACTGTGAGTAGCTCTTGGCAAGTGGCCAAATCGGCCACTGTTGAGCAGACCTCCGATTTTCACCTGGAATGCGGTGCTAAAGGGGAGCCTCTTCTCGTCATGCCTCAAGGGCTTTGTGTTGTCATGTTTGTTTATTTCTCATGCTGAGATTCAAGCTCTTGCCGATTGCAGGTTCAGAATCGAATTTCAGATTACAGCACGATCAGTCCTAGTGACGTGGCTGAGGACTGAACCTTGGGGGAAGGTGGAGCGTTCGAGAATACCACTTCAAATGAAGCCAGGTGGACATGTTGTGCTGCCTGCAACCAAGCTATCTATCTGGCCCAAGCTATCTATCTGGGCTTAAAGACTGAAACGTCGACATCTCAAGACTCCACGCTCTGCCGGGTCCCATCCACCCAGCCACCCAGCCGCGTCCTTCGTGTGGAGAAGATCGTGTGTCGACAGGATCGCTGAAGCTTTGCAGATCTGAGCCACGCCAGATCTTCCGGTCTCCAAAAAGGTGCTGATGTTTGCTCCTCAACAACTCCAACCAGGGATTGAGAAGAACACACTTGATGGCCTATAGGCCTATAGATAGACTTTTGAATGTGTTTCTCTTTGTTAAAAGCCCTGCCAGGGTGATGCCCGGCCGTTTTCGTCCCAAGTAGCTTTCCATCAGCTTTGAACCAAGTCTAAGGCATGCGAGTGTGTTTCTGCCAGAGTTCAAAAGCAGCCTCGTTCCTTTCTCTGCCAGCCGTAAACACTCCAAGCTCTGCCACGTGCCTCCACACGGCGGTTTCCGGGTGTTCGCCCATGTTGGGGGACTTCTGGGATCTCTCCCAGGGGCATTGCCTCTATGTTCTGCCGAATGGATCCGCAAGACCGGTGAATGTGCAGGTCAATGAGGCAGCTGTGGTGCTCAAATTCTCTGATGGGCTTTCGGAGCAGGACACCGGCATGAGGTGCTGCTGCCGAGGGAAAAGACCAGACGAGAGCAAGGTGACCAAGGAATTAAAGATCCCGGATCTTTTGGGTATCTCAACTGGAAGATTCAAATTAAACATATTTTATTCATTTTTCTGCTTCCCAAATTCCGGTACCGGAGCTGTTTGTTTTGCTTTTGTTTCGTTTTGCATGCAGTTTTGGTCGTAAGGTGTTGTCCTGGACCCTGAGAAAGCCCTTCTGCGCTTCGTACACTGTCCTCGACGGTCTTCCGTCCGTGTGCGAGAAGATGTCATCCTTCAGATTCAGGGAGACAGTGAAGTCTTGAAGCAGACCGACAAATGGGCCAAGGAGCTCTCCTCGAAGTGCCATTCCATGAAAGGCCCACGGAAATACCGTGTCTTCATCAATCCCGCGAGTGGCAGTGGGCAGGCGACAGGGGAAAGAAAAGGAAGGACACTTGTTTTGCAGGAGGGGATGTGACTGATGCGTAGAGTGTCATCCTCATTTCGCACTCTTTTACCCATTCAAGGACGGGTCATGAATGGATGTCCTACTCCAAAGCCTCGTTTTGCGCTTGAGGCCCAGGTGAAGTGGGAGATTGCCAAAGAGCTTTTGGATCAGTTGCCCTGGATCCAGCTGGAGGAGTTGAGAACCACCCACGCAGGACAAGCAGAGGAGGTGGCTGAGAAGGAGGCCTGGGAATGGTGCTGTTTAGGTCTCGACAGGTGGATCAAGGAGATAGGGATCATGTGATCATGTGTAAAGATGTCTTCCTGTTCTCAGATTCTGCACCAAATCCACTATGAAGCACTCTGTATAAGCCCTTTTTGGGTTGGTCTGAAGATTTACGCGGCAAGGTCTAGCTCCTCCTAACGAACTTGGAAGTCATATTGAATCGAAGATGTCCGAAGCTTGAGGTACAAGAGATCACGAACTCAAAGAAACAGCGAATCCTCCAAAGCCAACCTGGGGCGGTTCTATCTTCTACAAGCTTAAGGATCGGCCCATCGCACACACACACACAGAGACACAGTGCACACACACACACACTGCACACACACAGAGCTTGCAAGAGCGCAGCTCGGTGTTCATCGAGTTTGCATTAGATCTGTACGTTACTGCACTGGCAAAGTTGCCTGGAAATGGCCCTGTCACAGCCTGTGCAAACGGAAAGGTGAAAGAGTCCGAAACAATATGGTTTACATCATCGAGTGAACAAGTGCAGGTACAAGTGGTTGATCAGACCACTCATCCACCGAAATGCGATAGCTACGCTAGATAACTACACTCTGGCGTATACGTGTCCAACAAAGGAATACCAATCTCCATGCCAAACCCGCTTTTGACAAAGGGACAGTTTTGGGGGTTTGGGCATGAGCATTGGAAGCAAACCTCTTTCAACTGCAAAGAAAGTAGAAGCAGTGGTGCAGCCACATGTCCAACCCCATAGCTATATATCCATTTTCTTTCTTGCAGGGAAGCATTCAGCACCCTCCCGGCTTTAAATGCACATCCACTTATACCATCTTATACCCAAGCACGGCAAAGGTGAATCCTGAGTCCTGTGATGGCATCATTGTGGTGAGTGGGGATGGCATGGTCCACGAGGTCTTCAATGGGCTCTCGAAGCGACCGGATGCTGAAGCGGCTTTGAGGAAACTCCCCGTGGGCCATATCCCCGGTGGCAGTGGGAATGCCTTGGCCACCAGCATCAACCACTCTGCTGGGGAAAGCTTTGGGGCGCTGGAGGCGGCGTTCCTGATTGCCAAGGGAAAGACACAACCCTTGGATTTGATGACCGTGTCGCAGCCAAGTCGACCCCTCAGAACTTCCTTCCTCTCATTATCTGGGGCCATCATCTCGGATATCGACCTGGGATCAGAGTCAATGCGCTTCTTGGGTGGTTTGCGCTTTGCTGTCTACGGAGTCTATTGCCTTTTGAATCCGAAGCCTCTTCAAGCAGAGCTCACCTACTGGCCAGCAACAGCCTCCACTGTTCCGGGATCATCACCTCCCCCGATCGAGGAAGCCCTGCCTGAGGGGCCATGGGTGACCATCACGGACAGCTTCAACGTGTTTTGGGCCATTAACATGGCTTGGGCCTCCTTTGATTCCCATTTAGCACCTGGCCTTAGCATGGGCAGTGGCACTTGGAAGCTCGCGCTCCTTCGCAACGCGAGCCGGGCCACTCTGACGAAGTTCCTGTTGAACCTAGAGAACGGTGGGCATGTCAATCTGGAGAAGGCGGAACTGCTAGCATCTCGGTTGCCTTTCGGTTCCTGGGCTCTCTTTTCAAGTCGGGGCTTTTTCTGCCGACAGGTTCACCTTCCCCTGATACGGTCACCGTGGAATGTGTTGTTTAACACGCTTCTTGTTTCTCAAATTTGCTTGGGTGGACGGTTCCCTTTTTCTTGCAAGTGCCACACCAAGTGCTCCAAGTTTTCTCTATTTCTTTGGTGCCGCTCCTCCAAATGGACCATCCGAATGATGGGCGACCCTGCCAGGAGTGTAAGGCCTTCCGGCTGTTGCCTCAGGGCTCCAGCGGCTCCCGTGAGCGCTTCTCCTTGGATGGTGAGGAGGTACCCTTTGAGGGTATCCAGCTGTGGCCCAGCCTGGGTGGACATGTCTTAGGACCGATCTCCGGAAAATCGCTGGGTGGATCTGTGTTCGTGGGCGGATCGGATCTAGTTTCTTCATGTTTCTTCTTGGTCTTGGTTCGCTGGCCCCGACACGATGGTGAGAAGATACTGTAAAGGCACCGTTCCTTTTGGGGAGAACGGATGCGACCCAGATGTTGGAAGCTGAACGACCTGATCCACCATCAAAGGAGTACCTGTGTCCAAACATGCTTTTTCATTGTTGAATCATTTCACAGTGGAGTTTCCGGCAAAGGAGCACAACCATTCATCCAAAGAGAGAATTCACCCCATTGCTGGACGGCCAACACATCCGTGGTGCCTGGTTCTGGTACTCGCCTGTCCATGTTTAGTGAAAGGACCAGGCTGGTCTGGGGCTGCTGGACCGACGTTGCCCAAATTTCGAAGACGTAGCGGCACGTAGGGCTCCAAGTCATTACGATGTTCAAAGTCACATTCCAAGCCTCCTGTATATAGAGGCAGCGCCTGACCCATTGAATCTAGATTCATGCCAGAGAACATACAGGAGAAGAATTTGGAAGTCGACAAGTAAGTAGTCTGAACATGTGCGGACTGAATATTAATGCTATGGATCTAGTATCACCAGCCAGTACTGTTTCTTTGAAGATCAGACGGAAAGACCTTTGCGGACGCAGGGGTTTGGGGCATCATTTTCGCTGTCAGGAGCCTTTAGCGAGGCTCCCTGTGACGGAGTCGTTTCAGCGCTGTGAATCCCCTGATGGACAAAGGACGCTGTGGGAGGAGCCCAAAATTCTGATGATGCAAGGAACCCCCACATGTCTCCTGTTAGATGTGTTCATTTGTACTCGTACTATCAAACATACTTCCAAAGTACGCCTTTTTTTGCATCAACCCACGGCCCTAGAGAGACCACCGACCAAAAAGGCGCTGGTCTATGATGTAGAAGGAATTCGCTCGAAGAAGACCCGAGCCAATGGAGCTTCAGTGCTCAAATCTGACATTTGTTGCCACTGGCTGCTAGAGGCCGCGAGGCCGTTGTCGTTGGCTCCGTTGTGCACTGCGACCAACTGGCCTCGTTTCGTGGCATTGCCTAGAACCGACAGCACCTTGCGTTGCCTCAAAAGATAGTGAGCAAGAATCCAGGAAAAGGAGTAACTGGCATGTTGTGGCCAACCCTTTCCAAACCCCCAAAGGATACAGTCAGTCTTGAAAAAAGAGCAGTGCTTTTCAAGCGAAAACTAGGTTTCTGACAACTCATCCGCAAAACATTCTATTCCTAACTGGTCAATTGGGGCCATTGTACGGATAACTGCGGGCCCGGGGAAAAAATGGGAAGCGTTGTTTTTTTTGGGTTGGTGGTAAGAAGAATTGTGAAGTTCCAGTGACACTTTCAAGCTAGCAGTGTTGCATGCCAACCTCCGAACTGCACAATCTTTTTGTTGTTTGCTGTCGAACAGCATGCAGCATCTCAGACGACGCAATTAAAATAGCATGAAATAGGTATATGTCATATCTATATTGTCATAGGTTCCTGGCTGCCAGCAAGTATTCCCGAGAGAATTAATGTAGTTACAACTTGGCTTCAAACATGATACCCATCAGGTTTCTCTCCAATCCCAAGTTGTTTACTCCTTCGCCCACGAGCGGTTGACAGGCCAGGCTACAGTACTTGTTTTTGATCCATAGCCAAGCTTGACCACCAGCCTTTGTCTCCAACGGGCCGTGAAACGGCCGAGCACCGGGCATGCCTTTCGTGCCATGCCATGTCGGTACCGCCGTTGATTCGATGTTTTGGAGTGCGGTCACCGCATGCTAAGGCCAACTTCCAAACTGTTTCCCACAAGTATGCATGAAGCATTTTTCAACCTACTAGCAATGGCCTCCAACCTACTAGCCATGACCTCCAACCTACTAGCAATGGCCTCCAACTCGCTATCGATGGCCTCCAACCTACTAGCCATTACTAGCCATGGCCTCC